AGCCCATCCAGTTTGACAAGAAGCCGTGATCAGGCCTCTACAAGACAGCAAGTGTTTGGCGCATTTCTTCTCGAGCAGAGCTTGGGTCGAGAGCTATGGGAAACGGATGCAGGTGGGCTGCGCTAATGCTGCAAAAGGAGTAATCGCGGGATGGAAGGAAAAAACCCAAAGAGCTTGGGATTGGGAAACAGTCAAAGGAAGGTGAACAGCTGGATTAGAGTCCACTAGCACCTTAGAGAGCAGCACAAGTTTCAGAGAATGAACTTTCGAGAGTCTGAAGAAGGGAGGTATGACTCTCAAAAGTTCATACTCCCTAATGGTTAGGACTATATCCTTGCCGTAGAACAGCAGTTGACGTATCACAGCTAACCAGTCTGGTGTAGTGGTTAGGAGCGCGGACTCTAATCTGGGAGAACCGGATTTGATTCCCCGTTCCTCCACATGCAGCTGCTGGCATGACCTTGGGTCAGTCACAAGTTCTCTCAGAGCTCTCTCAGCCCCACCCACCCCACAGGGTGTCTGTTGTGGGGAGGGGAAAGGAGATTGTAAGCCATTCTGATATTCCTTCAGGTAGTGAAGGGGAAGGTATAACTCACATATCTTCTCCTCCTTGGTCTCCAAGGTGTTAGCAGACTCAAAGCTAGCTACATGCCTACCCCCTGCAAGGAAAGTTAAGTAACTCCTGCAGATCTCATTGAATATAAATATTATTTCTACTGAGGGGCAGCAATGTAGTGATTAACACATGGAATTCACTGCCACAGGAGGTGGTGGTGGCTACAAGCATGGACGGCTTCAAAAGGGAATTAGATAAGCATCTGGAGCAGAGGTCCATCAGTGGTTATTAGCCACAAGGTATAGATAGGGGCTCTGGGGCAAGGGATGCTCTGTCTTCTTGGTGCTTGGGGGGGTCAACAGCTGGAGGGCTTCTAATGTCCTGGCCCCACTGGTGGACCTCCTGATGGCACCTGGTATTTTTGGCCACTGTGTGACATAGTGTTGGACTGGATGGGCCTTTGGCCTGATCCAACATTGGCATCTCTTATGTTCTTATAATGTAACAAAGAATGCTTGATAGCAAAAGCCAAGCAGGTAGCTACAGTTCTATTTCTGGCTTATCATTCCACGCTATAACACCTCGACTGGTCAGCCAATGCTATGCAGTTCCTTGGATATACCTTATCTTGCTTGATCAATGCTTTGCATTGTAAGAAATACCAATAGGGAGTGTTCTGACGACCTCGCCTGGGTTTGGGTTTCAGCTCTTCTTCCTCCTCCTCCTCCTTCGCCACCTGCTGCGTTTGGAGCCGCATGTCGTGAAGCTCCGCTGACGCTTTTCGGAAAAAGCGCCGGGAAGAAAACTTTTCGGAGAGCGTCCCAAAGTCTTCCTCCATGTCGTCTTCCTCTGCCTCTTCTGTGACTGTTTCAGAGGAATAGGCAGGGAGATTCTCGTTCAAGTCTCTGCCCTTGCCGACTGCTTGGGATGAGCTGAAAGGCCTCAGTCCCAGGAAGCTGAGTAGAGGTGGTGGTTTTTCGGGCCACACCGATGGTTTCTGCGCAAGTGTCCACAGCTTGCAAGCAGGGCACGTTGAAGGATAGAAAGAAGCTTTCAGGGCGTGAAGTCCCGCGGGGAAGGAACGGGATATGAGCTGCGCAGCCATCGGGAGACTCTTGACTTTGTCACGTGGTTATGCAGCCATCTCCCGAAAACAAAAATCCTGAAATCAGAATGAGAAAACGTTATGTGTTGCCTTACAATCGCATGAAGCCGGTTAGGAGCGCGGACTCCAATCGGGGAGAACCGGGTTTGATTCCCTGCTCCTCCAAATGCAGCTACTGGTGTGACCTTGGGTCAGACACAAGTTCTCTCAGAGTTGTTCTCTCACGAGCAGTCCTCGAAAGAGCTCTCTCAGCCCCACCTGCCTCACAGGGTGCTTGTTGTGGGGACGGGAAGGGAAGGTAGTGAAGGGCAGGATATGAATCCAATCTCTACTTCTTCTCTTCTTGTATTGAATCTGAACATCAGTCCACCAGGGTCTGTTTACTCCGCCTGGCAGTGACTCTCCAGGGTCTCAGGTGGAGGTCTTCCCCATCTCCCGCTGCCTTTCCAGGATGCTAGAGATTGAACGGGGGAAGTACTGCATGCCAAGCATGGCCCCTGGCCCCCAGACCTGCTGTTTCAAGGCACTTTCTGTGCAATCCCCAATGGGAAAGTTCTGCATGCCAAGCGGCTGCCCTGGCGCTGCAGAATGGCCCCTGGCCCCCAGACCTGCCGTTTCAAGGCACTTTCTGTGCAATCCCCAACCACACGGACAGCTGCAACCAATGTTCCCTCTAAGCTGTGGAGTCTTGTGAGCAAAAGCTCTACTTTGTGAGCTACTGGCATTAAAGTGGTGAGCAAGCGATTTGGCTGCTGCATCAATGAGCTTGCTCTGGAGACGTCCTTCCTGAGCTGAGACAAAAATGTGTGAGCTGGAGGCTAAAAAACTGTGAGCTAGCTCACACTAACTCAGCTTAGAGGGAACACTGGCTGCAACCCAAACGCACAAATGCACGGAGCTGCCTGCTGCCGAGTCTATCAAGATCAGCGTTGCCCACTCAGACTGGCAGCCTCTTTCACATCCAATGCGAAGTCCCTATGAGGAGCCGGTAGGCAAGAAGCATCCATTTGTGTGTGGTGGAGGTGGGTAGCCTAGGGTGCCCAAGCTAGGGTTGCCAACCTCCAGGTAGAACCTGGAGATCCCCCAGAATTACAACGACAGAGATCACTTCCGGTAAGAAAATGGCTGCTTTGGAGGGTGGGCCCTGCAGAAACACATCTTGCGGAGGACCCTCCCCTCTCTAGGCGCCACCCCCCCCAAAATCTCCAGGAATCTCCCGACCTGGAGTTGGCAGCCCCAAGGAGCCAACGGGCTGCCGTGGCGCGCAACTTCAAGCGAGCCCCGCCCACACGAGAGAACCGTTCAAATTCCTACCGGCTTTCGACGTGCCTCACGCGCCCCTCGTGCACGCGGCACCTCCTTCCCGGCGTCTTTTCACGCTCCCCTGAGGAGAGCTTCAGCCGCGGCTTCTTTCTCTTCCCACCGCGCCGATTCGTCCTTCCCACAACGTCCCCGCCTACAAAGGAGGCGGGGCTCCGTCCTATTGGCTGACGCGGGGGGCGGAGCGGCCGTCACCGCCTCCTCCTCCTCCTTTACTCTCCCCTCAGGAAAAGGGGGCGGAGCTTTCCCCCTCATTGGTTGAAGCGGACACGACATCACACTGCGCCGGGGGGGTCGGAGGTCATTCCCAGCATCCTCCGCGCGAGCGGTTCGGTACGGATTGGAAGCGTCGCCCGTGCCGTTTCCCGCCGGTTACCTCATTTTTCGTCCCCTCTCTGTGCCGTTAAGAGCCGCCGCCGCCGCCGCCGCCGCCGCCGCCATGCAGGAGCTCATCGCCAGCGTGGACCACATCAAGTTCGAGCTGGAGATCGCGGTGGAGCAACAGCTCGGCGCGCAGCCGCTCCCCTTCCCGGGCATGGACAGTACGTGAGCCGGAGGCGCTGGCCCTCGGGCTTCTTCGCGCGCTCTTTGGGATAGTGGCGAGGGGTCCGAGTTCAAATCCCCCCCAAAGCTGTTCCCTCTTCTTTGGGGCAGGTGTCTTCCTTGACAGGGTGGCCAATTTCCAGGGGGTCAGCAACAAAAACCGGTAGTGTAGGACAAGGGACCGAGTGGATGTGATTTCTGAATGTGATTTTTTTTTGGACATTTTCCTTCGACATACAAATTGACGGGCTGTCACTGTGCCCTTCCTAAGAGTTTAATCATAGTAGAGTCAGGTTTTGGTATTCAGCCCAGATGGAAGAAAGTTATAGTAAGACACATATATTTTATGATTGTTATTTTCCTGTATAAGAAGTTATATCAGGCAAAAGTATTATTAGAGGCCTCTGCAGATGAAATAGAATGGAAAGTGTATCTGGTGGTTTATGAGGACATCAAGCAAATTGACGGGCTGTCACTGTGCCTTCCTAAGGGTTTAATCATAGTATATTCAGGTTTTGGTATTCAGCCCAGATGGAAGAAAGACACATGTATTTTATGTTTGTATTTTCCTGTATAAGAAGTTATATCAAGCAAAAGTATTATTAGAGGCCTCTGCAGAGGCAATAGAATGGAAGGTGTATCTGGTGGTGGTTTATGAGGACACCAAGCAGTGGAAGTAATGCAATGAAAGGGCTCTAAGTGTTTCCAAAACAATATCTCCTTTTGTAAAAGAAGAGCATCTAGGCCCACGGAGTCTGCCCAGGGCTAAGTTTCATGCGCCTTATCAGAAAACTCCCTCGCTCCAGGCTGAAGCAAATAAGCCAGGAATGATGCCGAAAGAAGACCTCATTGTTCCCAAAAGCCCCCCCTGTCTTCCATGACCAGATAAGAAAACGTGAAGGCTTGTAATTCTGATCCATATAGGAGCTTGCCAATAGAGGTGTTAAGTCAAATGATGTTACCTGTCTGGTACCAATTAGGGATTTCTCAGTGTATAAACTATAGTGATGTCATTTGGGGTATAAGACCTTCTGCCCTTCCTGGTTATTGCAGAATACAGCTTCGCGTTGCTGGGTGCTAAGGTATCCAGCCCTGTATTTCCTGTTTCTTGCAATAAACAGTTAATCATCTAATTCACTGGACTCCTGACTGTGTGTTCTATATTCGAACCCGGGAGCACATGGGGCACCGGTCCTCCACAGTTGAAGAACTAAAAAATAACAAGACTGTGCAACAAATTTTTTACATTTTGGATTTTTTGTGAATTTTCCCATACAATTGTATCTCTGCAGTTTCTATAAGATTTCTGATGCCTCTGACAAACGGGTTGGTAATTCTTTAATAAGCACATAGTTAATTTTGTTAATTTCCAGGTGATGGCTGCAGATCCCCCTCTATTACAACTGATCCCCAAGCAACATGGGGAGAAACTGGCCACTTTGGAGGGTGGACTCTGTGTCATTATGCCCATTGAAGTCTCTCCCCTCCCCAAACCCTGCCCTCTTCAGTCTCCGCCCCCAAAATCTCCAGGAATTGCCAAGCCTAGACCTGGCAGCCCTACTTTCTGATGTTGTAGGCTGCCTCATGGGGTTGTTGTGACAGACAAAAGGGAGGAAGTGCTTGAGAAACAAACATGCAGAGAGAAAAGCTCGATTCTAGTCCAGTGGCACCATAGAGAACAACAAGATTTACATGCTAATTTGCTTTTAAATCCCTGTCTATTTTAGAATCTCATCTTCCATTCCAGTGTATTTGAAAAAGTGTGCCTTGCACACAAAAGCTCATACTTTGAATAAACCTTTGTTGGTCTTACAGGTGCCACGGGACTCTAAAGATATTCAGGGTATAACTTTCTGAGACTCTAAACTCCCTTCTTCGGATATAGGTTGGAAAGAGATAAAAGTAGCTGCGAGTCTGGTCTTTCCGATGCTTATTGAATAATACCTTTTGTCAAGGAGAATGGCATGTGCAACCTAATATACCTGCTGGACAGTGCTGTGTGCATGTTAAATGTTGTCACGTTACTTCTAACTAATGGTAACACTATGAATGAATGATCGCCAAAGTCTCCTGTGCTTAACAGCTTTGCTCAGGTCTTGCAAACTGATTGACAATGCTACTTATTCAGTAATCTCAGAGGTAGGCGAAGCACTTTAAGAACATCAGACTGCACCTTAAGAACATGTCTCCCTCCCTATGTCATTCGGCAAAGGATTTGTGCCTGTGTGCCAAAAATCAGAAATCTGCTGGGGTCAGCTTGTGTTCGTGCAGCATGATGTATGCTTTCAAGTTATTATTACTTATCATTTATTGTATTTATGAATTGCCCAATCCCTGCCATAGCAGGGCTCTGAGCGATGTACAGAAACCATAAAAAAGACATCATAAAGCCAGTTAAAGCATTAATAAAGCATTTCAAGCATGGTGAATAAATAATCCCAAATCCAACTGCCGGGCTAAATTGGGCAGGCCGGCTGGGTAAAAAGAGAAAAGGTCGGGGGAAGCTTTCTTGGATTTCTCCTCATCATACCCATCATAAAATGGACCGGTGCACTATCCCTGCTCATTTTTTGTCCTGTTACTGCTATGTGCCTTCTATGTTGCTTTTAAAAAACTTAGTTTTGGAAGATCTGCTCAGCTATTCAGATGCAGGAAGCCTCTATCTGAGCTCTGAGTGAAGAATTGCTAGGCGTGCTAAACTGTCTAACTCGTTAAAAATAATGGTACTTCTAAACGTAATCCTGTTGGGTGGAGGAATATGTGGTACTTCATTATGCATCTCTTTTTCTCCACAGAATCGGGGGCAGCTGTCTGTGAATTTTTTTTAAAGTCTGCCTGTGGGAAAGGTATGCTTCAATTACAAATACCTTTTGCTAGGAGAAGGCAGACGGAAAGCCATTCATTAACACACGATCCTTCCCATTGTTGTGAACCCATGTGCAACGGTATCTCCCCACTCTTGGTTTCCTGCACTTTAGGAGGCATGTGTCCCTTCCGACACATCAGCGGCGAAAAGACGGTGGTTTGCAAGCACTGGCTACGGGGGCTGTGCAAGAAGGGAGACCAGTGCGAGTTCTTGCATGAGTATGACATGACGAAAATGCCTGAGTGCTACTTCTATTCAAAATTTGGTAAGAGGAACTGTGGTGACCATCTGGCTCCCATTGTGGCTTGTTTTGGAAAGAGCAACTTTTGGGCTGACCCTGTGCACAGACATGTGGGTATAAGCCTTGTTGGACGAGGGGCGATTTGCTTCCAAGAAAATGTGCTTGAAAGCTGTGGTTCAGTGGTAGAGCATCAGCTTGCCGTGTCTAAGTTCCCAGGGTCAATCCCTGGCATCTCCAGTTTAAAGGATGAGGTCATAGGTGATGCGAAAGACCTCAGGTGTGAGACCCTGGAGGGCTGCTGCCAGTCTGAATACACCCTGATGCCCTCAATAATATCTTGAACTGTAGCATTCAAAGCAATTTACAGTAATCTTTGCAGCAACCTGGTAAGGGACATCAGAATTTTTAGTTTCCCCATTACAGATTTGGGCAGGGGCTAATTTTTCTAAGGTAGGGATGAGACGACTTCCTGATTGGTAGCCCCTTGCCATGGCCGCTGCCCTCATTCCTTCCTCCACCCCACAGAAGACTTTGTTTCTCTTGTTTGGTGTAGTGGTTAAGTGCGCAGACTCTAATCTGGGAGAACCAGGTTTGATTCCCCACTTCTCCACTTGCACCTCGCTGGATGACCTTGGGCAAGCCATAGTTCTGATAAGAGCTGTTCTTGAAAAAGAGCAGTTTCTGTCAAAGCTCTCTCAGCCCCACCTACCTCACAGGGTGTCTGTTGTGGGGAGGGGAAGGGAAAGGAGTTTGTAAGCCGCTCTGAGACACCTCTGGGTAGTGAAGGGCGGGGTATAAATCCAATCTCCTTCTCCTCCTTGTCCGACTTTGACCAGTATGCTCAGCAAACAGTGCATAATCAGCTTGGTACTGGAGGTCTAGAGATGCAAAACAAGATTTTAATACATTAATGCAGCACTGTTCTCAAGGGCTACTTGTTTACTTACTTGGAGAACGCCAAAGTGTCTTTAGCCCGTTCTTTGTTCTTGCTTTGCAAGGGGGGAGGTGAGGCAGTGGGTCTTGCTGCGATAAAAGAAATCTATTTGAGAGATTCCTAACACTCTTTGGCTTTTGGGGAGGGTGGGGGGATTCGTTCCTGATGAACAGTCCCTTTTTTTCACCCTTCTACCTTCAGTGAAGCATGTGCTTCTCTACCACAGGGGAATGCAGCAACAAAGAATGCCCGTTCTTGCACATTGACCCCGAGTCCAAGATAAAAGACTGTCCTTGGTATGACCGAGGCTTTTGTAAACACGGTATGTATGTCCCTGACCTCCTCTAGTTACTTTTTGTCTTCGAAGAGCAATGTTAGAGCTGCAGCCTCTTACATGGGAGGGCTGGAACCAGCAGTTTGGCATGTCTGTTGGAGGACTTGCCTTAAATTGTAAAGAAGTCATTTGTGCTCATGATCGTGATCAGTATTCTGGGTCTGCTTGGAGTTTTGAAAGCCAAAGGAGGCTTTGCAGTAGTGGGTGGGGGAGATATTCTATGTCAGAAGCCTGACCCTGATGTTCTGTGTTGCAGGCCCCCTTTGCCGGCACAGACACACCCGGCGTGTTATTTGTGTGAATTATCTAGTGGGGTTCTGTCCAGAGGGGCCTGCTTGCAAATTCATGCAGTGAGTATACTTCAGGATTGTCTCCATGGTCTTCAGCTCCCCCCCCCCCTTGAATCTGACATGGATCAGTTCAGCGCTCCTTGTAGATGGGGAGGAATTTTCAGATTGGCAGTGACATCTGAGTGTAAAGATGAGCCCTGCTGGATCAGACCAATGGTCCATCTAGTCCAGCATCCTCTCTCACACAGTGGCCAAACCAGTTCCTCTGGAGGGGCAACAACAGGGCACAGAGGCTGAGGCCTTCCCCTGAGAAGAACATCAGAAGAGCCCTGCTGGATCAGACCAATAATCCATCTAGTCCAGCATCCTGTCTCACACCGTGGCCTCAACCAGTTCCTCTGGAAGGCCAACAATAGGGCATAGAGGCCGAGGCCTTCATTAGAACATCAGAAGAGCCCTGCTAGATCAGACCAGTAGTCCATCTAGTCCAGCATCCTGTCTCACACAGGGGCCTCAACCAGTTCCTCTGGAAGGCCAACAATAGGGCAGAGAGGCCGAGGCCTTCATTAGAACATCAGAAGAGCCCCGCTGGATCAAACCAGTGATCCATCCAGTCCTGCATCCTGTCTCACACAGAGGCCAACCAGTTCCTCTGGAGGGCCAACAACAGGGCATAGAGGCCGAGGCCTTTCCTTGATGTTACCTCCTGGCTCTGGGGTTCAGAAGATGCCTCTGAATGTGGAGGTTCCCCTCAGTCACCATGGCTAGTAGCCATCGATAGACTTTTCCTCCATGAATCTATCTAATCCCCTTTTAAAGCTGTTTATTCCTGTGACCATCACCACATCCTCTGGCAGCGAATGCCGCATTTTAATCACTCTCTGTGTAAAGTAGTATTCCCTTTTGTCCATCCTGATCCTACTGCCCATCAGCTTCATTGAAGGCCCTCGAGTTCTACTATTTTGGGAGAGGGAGAAAAATATCTCTTTGTCCACTCCCTCCACCCCATGCATAATTTTATAAACCTCTGTCATGTCCCCCTTTAGTCGTCTCTTTTCTAAACTCTTCCGCCTTTCCTCCTAGGGAAGATGCTCCAACCCCCTTGTCATCTTGGCTTGCCCTCCTCGGTACTTTTCCCAGCTCTGCCATGTCCTTTTTGAGATACGGTGACCAGAACTGCCCACAGTCTTCCAAATGAGGCCGCCCCATAGATCTCTACCAGGGGCATTACCAGTATCGGCCGTCTCATTCTCAGTCCCTTTCCTAATAATCCCTAACGCAGAGTTTGTCTTTTTGACCGCTGCAGCGCACTGGGTCGACACTTTCATTGAGCTCTCCACTCTGACCCTGGATCTTTTCCCCTCTCGGTGTCAGTGAGTTCAGACCCCATTGAAGTTGGGGGTTTTTTTTGTCCCAGTGCGTGTCACCTTTCACTTACCAACAACAACAATAATACAGTCCACAGTAAACAATGGTCAAAAAAACAGCAAATAACAACTGTGTACTGCACAAACCCACACCAAAATTAACAAAAAGAGACTTCAACACAAAGGTAATTCAACACATGTCCATCATAGGAAAATACAAAAGTTTACAATATCCACATGTAGGCATGTTTGGTCCAACTTACATAATAGCAACCTTGGTAGGTGCTTTCTAAAGCTTAGGAGACCTGGCCCATATAGAAACTGAATAAGGTTTGCCTGTTAAGAAATTGCAATGAGACTTCCTGTAGGGGCTTTTTGTTCCTGAGGAAGGACCAGAAGTCCGAAACACTGAACAATACCTAGGAAAAGTGTTGATATCTATTCCAGACTTCATTGTTTCCCTTTGAGAAATTTCTATTCTGGACTTTGTTCTTTCCCTTTGGGATATTGTGGACTTTTGTATTTTCCCATGATGGATTACATGTGTTGAATTACCTTTCACTTACCAGCCCTGAACTTCGTTTGCCACCTTGTCGCCCGCCCACCCAGTCTGTGGAGGTCCTCTTGGAGCCCTTCACAGTCAGCCTCGGTTACCCCAACATTGACGTCCCCTTCTCTGTTCTTAACATGAGGAACTGTGCGATATCCCCCCCCCCCCCCGCGAGCCTCTTGTTCTGTCGCGAAGACTGACCAGGGCACGTGCGCCTGCACGACAGCGATGGGCCTCGGGCGTGGGGGAGATGTCTTTTTAGAACCTTTTGGAGGATGGGTTCCAGCCGGTCTCTCGAGGGTCAGCTCTGCCCTTTTCTCTTTTTGAAACCAGCCCTCGATTTGAACTCCCCATGGGAACCACGGAGCAACCGCCACTGCCTCAGCCGACGCAGCCACAGCAGAAGGTAATGCCACTTTCTGGCTCACATCTCCAGTGGGCGATGAAGGTGCTTCTGGGAGTTCCTCTGTGACGATTGGACGGCATGTGGGCTGCGTAGAGGGACTCACGGTATATCAACTCCTTGGGATGATGTCACAGCCCAAAAGTGAGGGGGGGGGGGCGCGCGAAATGATTGTGTAAGAAGAGCCCTGCTGGATCGGACCAATAGTCCATCTAGTCCAGCATCCTGTCTCACACAGGGGCCAACCAGTTCGTCTGGAGGGTCATCAACAGGGCATAGAGTCCGAGGCCTTCCCTTGACGTTGCCTCCTGGAGGTTCCCCTCAGTCACCATGGCTAGTACCCATTGATAGGCTTATCCTTTTGGGTCTATCTAATCACCTTTTAAAGCTGTTTATTCCTGTGGCCATCACTACATCTTCTGGCAGTGAATTCCATTTTACTGTCTCTCTGTGTAAGGTAGTATTTCATTTTCTCCGTCCTAAACCTGAACCTTGATTGGATGCCCACGAGTTCTAGTGTTTTTGTGTAGTGGCTAGGAGACTATACCAGTTTGGTGCAGTGGTTAGGAGTGTGGACTCTAATCTGGGAGAACCGGGTTTGATTCCCCACTCCTCCACTTGCACCTGCTGGTGTGACCTTGGTTCAGTCACAAGTTCTGTCAGAGCTGTTCTCTCAGGAGCAGTTCTGGAAAGAGCTCTCTCAGCCGCACCTCCCTCACAGGGTGTCTGTTGTGGGGACGGGAAAGGAAATTGTAAGCCGCTCTGAGACTCCTTCAGGTAGTGAAGGGCGGGTTATAAATCCAATCTCCTCTTCTCTTCTATTTCGGGAGAGGGAGAAAAAATTCTCCTCGTCAACTCTCTCCGTCCCATGCGTAATTTTATAAACCTCTATCATCTCCCCCCCCCCCTTAGTTGTTTCTTTTCTAACCTGAAAGGTCTGAGTCTTCAGCCTTTCCTCATAGGCCCTATTTGTCTTCGGGGCCCATGGACGTAACTTTAAAATACACTTTCCTTGAAACACCCAGCGGTTGTGTGGCAGTTTCAGCATCTAAGGCCGAGAGTTTCAGATAACGACGTACTGGAAAAGTCTGGGTTCTTGTGCAGGACCCTTTTACTTTTGAGCACATAATACTTAAGCTAGTCACTGCCTTGGAAAAGACCAGTGACTGAGCATGTGGGCTGTTCTTTCTCCTGCCCTCAGCAAAATAACAACCCGCCACTGCAGAGGTCGTCATCCCTGATCCAATTAACGAGTCAGAACTCTTCTCCCAACCAACAGAGGACCCCGCAGGTCATTGGCGTGATGCAGTGTCAAAACAACAGCATCGGCAACAGAGGCCCCCGGCCACTGGAGCAGGTCACTTGTTACAAAGTAAGTCGAAGGTGGCATGGTGCGGGTGGGTGTTCTCCATCCGGAGAAACTGACCAGTGTACATACTGAACGTACATCCACAGCCGTAATTTTCATGCTTCTGTTTAATTACAGTTTGATGTCGTGGTTAGGAGCACGGACTCTAGTCTGGGAGAACCAGGTTTGATGCCCCACTCCTCCACATGCAGCTGCTGGGGTGACCTTGGGCCAGTCACAAGTTCTCTCAGAGCTGTTCTCTCAAGGGCAGTTCTCGGGAGAGCTCTCTCTGCCCCACCTACCTCCCAGGGTGTCTGTTGTGGGCAGGGGGAGGGAAACGGGATTGTAAGCCACTCCGAGAGAAGGGCAGGGTATAAATCCAATCTCCTCCTCTTCCTCTCCTCCCCCTCCCTCCACATGCAGCTGCTGGAGTGACCTTGGGCCAGTCACAACTTCTCTCAGAGCTGTTCTCTCAAGGGCAGTTCTCGGGAGAGCTCTCTCTGCCCCACCTACCTCCCAGGGTGTCTGTTGTGGGCAGGGGGAGGGAAACGGGATTGTAAGCCACTCCGAGAGAAGGGCAGGGTATAAATCCAATCTCCTCCTACTCTTCTTGGAATTGGGGAAACAGCTCGGTTTTTTTGAATGGGCTGAAGGATGTAGGTACTGGCCAGAAGACAGATGGGCTGAGCTGTATTGAAAGTAGTAACCTTGCTTTCACCCGCGCAGAAGAGCCTGTTTGTGGAAGTTATTCATGTATTTGATGGCCTGAATCCTAAGGGCACTGTGCTTTATTTGATGTATTCTAATTGTTTTTATTGTATATTATATTTGAGGGAACCTGCCCTGTGCCTGCTATGTGGGGAGGGCGGGAGACAAATCCGATTAAATAAAATAAATAGAAACTTCTGAAACAGGCTTTCGTAAGGAAGAAATCCTGCTCTCTCGTCTCTGAAGCAGCTACCATTTTCACCCAGGATTTTGTAACCTTTTGGATCTAAAGAGCTTCATGTCTTTCTTCTTCCCCTCTTCCCCCAGTGTGGCGAAAAAGGACACTATGCCAACCGATGCACGAAGGGACACTTGGCTTTCCTTAGTGGACAGTGAGCCAGTCGCCATACCAGGAGACAAGTACACGGCACAGTTTTAAGAAGAATGAGAGCAAAGGGATGCGGACCACCAGTCCGGACTGTTGATCTGTTTTTTTACGCGCCCGTACCAGAAGGGCTGCCCCCCCCCGGACTCCTAATTTGAAACACTTCTGTAATTTCATCATTTCTTTTAAACCTTTTAAAAATAGAAATTGAGTGGAAGCCAAGATACGGGGCGGGAGGGGGGGGGAATACACAAGCCTCAGATTGCATTTGGAATCGATACTTTTTTTGTGCTCGTGACTCCTCCGTTGTTCAAGCAGAGCCTGGACACAGAGGAAGATGAGAAGCGCTGATGTATGAAGGGGCCGGTCTGTGTTGTGCACCGACAGGAATGAAGCACCGCACATCTGTATTCTCTGCAAGGCACCTGGGTGATCGCCCAGGGGTGAAGGTGCGCATGGCTGTGTGGGCAGCATTTTTTTTTTTTGTCCTCCTTTGGGAGCTGACCACAGTGCAGGCACAGCCAACGCACTGGGCCTGCATTTGCGTTCTCAATTGGAGCCGTGAACTTAACACAGCTCGCGTCACTAAATGGATTTGGTCAAAAACGGGCTCAGGATGAACAGCGAAGGACTTCTAAAGTTCCGACTGTAAGTGGACAGGAACTAGAAACATGTTTGTATTAAAAAAAAAATCTAACTGGTATTGCTTTGACCCCGTGGCTTCAGTGGGCCTCGATTAAGTGTCTGTTAGCCTAACACATACACCCCGTCCACCACTGCCAAGAGACTCCAGAGTTTTTGCTGTAACACACACCTTAGCACTCAGCAGCTAACTACCTTGAAAGCATTTGTTTTTGTTTCCTTAAAATGGATGTACCCCTGAAAAAAAAAGTTTTTTTGATATATATATTTTTAAATTACTTTCGGAGGGGAAAATGTGCCTAGAAAGAACACAACCGGAGTCCTGCGTTGTATGGAACACACAGGCTTCTTACTTGATTAAAGGTTTGGGGTTTTTTTCCAAAAAAGCCTGTGGTGTCATCTTGTGGAGAAAGCAGCAACTCTTCAACAAGGTATTATTGTAGTCCAGAAAAGTTTTGCTGTTGAAAATAAACAGCTAGTTTCAAGGAGTGATGCTATACACGTTTTAGATACCAGGACGGGAATGACCGGTTACTAGATCTACAAAACACAACTCAGTTCCAAGGCTTGACCTTAAGGTGGCACACTCTAGATCAGGGGTGTCAAACTCATTTGTTATGAGGGCCGGATCTGACATAAATGAGGCCTTGTTGGGCCAGGCCATGTGTATCATAAAGTGTAATGCCACGTAGCGGATATAAACTTTATAAAGGACACAAACACAAAGTGGGTTTTACTTAAAAACATGCTTAAAGCATTAGCACTCTTGCAATATTTTGTTTGTTTAACAGTGTCCGATAACTGACACCTCTTCCTCTGAATTACTGCATCAAAATGTCTGTGCTGCTGCAATTTTGAGTATGCTGTTCAGGTGTGTTACCTGTAAGCTGCAAACCTACGATGACGCAGCAGCAGCAGCAGAACTAGGAGCAGTAGCGGCAGAAAGCCAGTTCTACTGTAGGCCTGATAGAAGCCCTCCGGGGGCCTCATCTGGCCCCTGGGCCGCATGTTTGACACCCCTGCTCTAGAATAGACCCACTACTGATTTATGATGTTATGTATGGCCTGCGCACTTGTCTGTTGTATGAGAGGAGGGAACACAATAGAGGCTTCTGCATGTTCTTCTGGGATTAACTAGACTCATGTTTGTCCTAAGAAACCGTTCCCAGTAGTACTATGCAACTGAGTCAACACTCTGAATCTCTACACCTGTCATGCAAGCCAGCGACTGATGGCTACAAAATTGTCTTCCAAATACAGCTGACTTGGAAGTTAAGTTTCGTCACGGCCTTAAGAGTTTAGGAAACTTCTTGAGATTAATGTGACACTTCGTGCCTGGTTAAGACCCATGCCTGAATTCCTTTCCGCTTTGAGAAAGAAAGAAAGAAGTCTTACAGTACACTTAACAATAAATGTTTTATTATTGGTCACGACACACTTGGCTCGTGCCGGAAGAGAATACAGCATTTGAGGGCTAGGAGCTTTCAGGGCGCAGGATATCTCCTCTTCCCCGCTGCCAGTCACGTGCCGCCCGTGTTCTTCCGGGTCGTCTAGGCTCAGTGATACCTCCTCCAGCGTTCGTGCTCTAAATTATCAAAACAAGTCAGTTTGCTTTGGGTTTAATGTATTCACCCTCGGGGGGGGGGGGGGCAACCTTTTCTAGTTGAGTAAAATACTAAGCAGAATCCAGGGTCTCTACAGCAGCAAATATTAAAATCAGAGTTGGGAGGGGCCAAACAGGCCATCCAGTCCACCCCCTGCTCAATGCAGGATAAGCCTAGAGCAGGGGTGTCGATCTCAATTGTTATGAGGGCCGGATCAGACATAAATGAGACCTTGTTGGGCCGGGCCGTGTGTGTCGTAAAAGGTAATGCCAAGTAGTAAAGATATAAACGTTATAAAGGACACAAACACAACGATTTTTTTTTTACTTAAAGTAAAAACGTGCTTAAAACATTAGGCTCTGCAAGCTGCAAACCTACTTTTGATTTATTGACATTCACCACAGAAACCTCATGCTCAGAGTTCTGAGCGTGGGACCCAGGTTAAAACATGAGACGGCTGAGTGATTGAGAGAGTCTGGCGAAGCAAACTGATGCAGCAGCAGAACTGGAAGCAGGAGACGGCCAGTTCCGCTGCGGGCCTGATCTGGCTCCCGGGCCACATGCTTGACACCCCTGGCCTAGACTGTCCCTGATGAGTGTTTATCCAGCTGCTGCTTGTAGACTGCCAGTGAGGGGGAGCTCACCACCTCCCTGGTCAGCCCATTCCACTGCTGAACAACTCTGACTGTAAAAATTTTTCCCCTGCATCCAGCCTGTACCTTTCTACCCACAATTTAAACCTATTTTTGCAAGTCCTCTCCTCTGCTGCCAACACAACAGCTCCCTGCCCTCCTCTAAGTGACAACCCTTCAGATGCTTCAAGAGAGCCATCGTATCCCCCTTCAACCTCCTCTTCTCCAGACTGAACATCCCCAAGTCCCTCAGCCTTTCCTCATAAGGCTTGGCCTCCAGGCCCCTGATCATCCTCGTTGCTCTCTTCGGCGACTTGCTCCATTCTGTCCCCATCCTTTCCGAAGTGGGACCTCCAGAACTGCACACAAGACTTGACCAATGTGGTGTACAGTGGGGCTACGACAACCTGCGATTTGGATGTTATGTTGCTAACTCAGGCAAGAAATAGTACGCTTGCCCTGATGCAAGTAACTGGAGACACACACCCCCCAACACGTAGCAGGCCTAGTGGATCAGGTTGAAGACTGAGTTTAGGCCACTAGCCCTGCCAGATGCAACTAGGAAACCAGCATGCAAGGCTGGACCACTTCGGAGGCACAGCGGGAACACGGGCATTCTGTTTACAGGATTTCCTAGGAGCCCTGTTTGGCGTAGTGGTTAAGTGTGCGGACTCGAATCTGGGAGAACCGGGTTTGATTCCCCACTCCTCCACTTGCCCATGGCTGGATGGCTTTGGGCAAGCCATAGTTCTGATAAGAGCTATTCTTGAAAAAAGAGCAGTTTCTGTCAAGAGCTCTCTCAGCCCCACCAACCTCACAGGGTGTCTGTTGTGGGGAGGGGAAGGGAAAGGAGTTTGTAAGCCGCTCTGAGACACCTCCGGGTAGTGAAGGGCGGGGTATAAATCCAATCTTCTTCTTGAAAAAGAGCAGATTCTGTTAAGAGCTCTCTCAGCCCCACTCACCTCACAGGGTGTCTGTTGTGGGGAGGGGAAGGGAAAGGAGTTTGTGAGCCGCTCTGAGACACCTTCAGGTAGTGAAGGGCGGGGTATAAATCCAATCTCCTTCTCCTCCCCTTCTTCTCGGGTCAGTCCCAGTTCTCTCAGAGCTGTTCTCTCAAGGGCAGTTCTCTCAGAGCTCTCTCAGCCCCACCTGCCTCACAGGGTGTCTGTTGTGGGGAGGGGAAGGGAATGGAGTTTGTAAGCCGCTCTGAGACACCTTTGGGTAGCGAAGGGCGGGGTATAAATCCAATCTCCTCCTCCTCCCCTTCTTCTCGGGTCAGTCCCAGTTCTTTCAGAGCTGTTCTCTCAAGGGCAGTTCTCTCAGAGCTCTCTCAGCCCCACCTGCCTCACAGGGTGTCTGTTGTGGGGAGGGGAAGGGAATGGAGTTTGTAAGCCGCTCTGAGACACCTTTGGGTAGTGAAGGGCGGGGTATAAATCCAATCTCCTCCTCCTCCCCTTCTTCTCGGGTCAGTCCCAGTTCTCTCAGAGCTGTTCTCTCAAGGGCAGTTCTCTCAGAGCTCTCTCAGCCCCACCTGCCTCACAGGGTGTCTGTTGTGGGGAGGGGAAGGGAATGGAGTTTGTAAGCCGCTCTGAGACACCTTTGGGTAGTGAAGGGCGGGGTATAAATCCAACCTCTTCTCTTCTGCCAGATAATCTTAGGATCTCCTGGCTATACCACACACACTGCCATACAGTGATGATGATTAGTATTATTATTATTTCCCCCCTCCTCTGTTTTACAACAGCCTTGTGAGGTAGGTTCAGTTGAGGGAGTGTGACTGGCCCAGAGTCACGAATCAGCTTCTAGGGCACAGTGTGAATTTCCCCCCAGTATTACTCCTCTCTCCCTGCCCAGCCAGGATCTACTGGAACACTCTTGCTCTGTCTTGCCAGAAGTATATAAATCGCCGTGCCTCTTCCAAACATCTCAGGCTCTGCTCCGTCCTCTGAAAGGTTGCTGACTTAAAAGACTCCAGGACGGCCACAGCCACTTGCTCTCACACTCAGATGGGAAGGATCCTCTAACTTCTCCAATTTTGTTTTAAAGCAGACCTTCAAACATGCAATGTAAGATTTTACTCACTAATATGGTCGTAGTTCCAGATGTAGCTGATTAACACATAGCCGGTTAGCAACATCGCGATACCCCCGATGCCGCCTTTCTTCACATCGATGTACTTACTGTAAAATCGGTTGTAACCTAAACGAGGGGGGAGAGATTTCTCAGCTTCAAAAAGTTGCCGTCTCAGCCTACTGACCGCGCCACCTTAACAACAACGGGTGGGGGTTCAGGATCGTTTAGCACTGACCAGGCCCAGAGTAAAACAAACACTGCACGCAGAAGACCACAGGGTGGGTTGGCTCCCACGCGTCCGGCAGCAAGGAATTCAACAGGGCTCGGGAAGTCCTCTTCCCACGACCTTGAAGAGCCAACATCAGTCACAGTTTCCAATTCTGGCCCAGGGGACAATGTTCCCTCTAAGCTGTGCAGTCTTGTGAGCAAAAATCCTACTTTGTGAGCTACTGGCATTAAAGTTGTGAGCAGGTGATTTGGCGGCTGCATGAATTACTCTGCTCTGGAGCCCTCCTTCCTGAGCGGAGACAAAAATGTGTGAGCCGGAGGCTAAAAAACTGTGAGCTAGCTCACACTAACTCAGCTTAGAGGGGACACTGCCCAGGGGTGCCAAGGTCAAGTCCACGCGCTCACAGAAATTATGGCCTGCAAGGTATACTAATTTTCTTTTGTGTTTATGTGCATGTGTGTGCCCATGCCTGGAAGTCATGGCGACCCCTGCTGACTCCTACTGGGACATGGAGGACGTTCAGAGAAGTGGCTTGATAGCCTGTGTAACGATTCCATGTTTTATTGTGTGTGTGTCTTTAAAAGAAGTGCGCGGACTCTAATCTGGGAGAACCGGGTTTGATTCCCCACTCCTCCACTTGCACCTGGCTGGATGACCTTGGGCAAGCCCTAGTTCTGTCAGAGCTGTTCCCTCAAGGACGGGTCTCGCAGAGCTCTCTCAGCCCCGCCCACCTCACAGGCAGTGTTCCCTCTAAGCTGAGTCAGTGTGAGCTAACTCACAGTTTTTTAGCCTCCGGCTCACACGTTTTTGTCTTAGCTCAGGAAGGAGGGCTCCAGAGCAACCTAATTTATGCAGCAGCCAAATCGCT